AAGGACCGTGAACATACATACAGCACTGAAGTTGGAGCCATGCCATTTGAGCCAACTTATCTTTTTCTCTTTAAGCTAAAAACAATGTAGGTTGGGGGAGAGTGCTTTTTCATGATTCTACCTAAAAAGCTGTTCCCTGGTTCCAGTATGACCTACTCCTAATGTTGGTCACAAAGGTAGCTGTAGTCCTAAAGCCCTGAGTTTGGGCATAGAAGGCTCTTACCCCTGCCGCTGAGGCCTGATAGAAGCATGAGAATCCACAGGCAAAGTGAGGACCCTGTGGCCCTGGCATGGGCTAGTGGTTCACAAGGAGCTTTTTCTGTGTGCATTTTACATAAACAAAGACATTGAGGGAGTTAGATGGTTCAGTGGCTTAGAGCACTTGCTGCTCTTGCAGAAGACCCAAGCTCACGCCCCAACACCCACATCAACTGTTGGCTCACAGATAGGATGTTTAGTTCCAGGGAAGGCAACTGCCTCTTCTGGGCTCCACATGCATGTGACCCACATGCAGATAAACAAGCATACATGTACATAGAAAATAAATACATATTTGCTTATGTATTTATTCATATATTTATTTATTTGAGAAAGGGTCAAGTAGATAGATAGATAGATAGATAGATAGATAGATAGATAGATAGATAGATAGATATGTATCCCTGACTGTCCTGGAACTCTCTATGTAGACCAGGCTGGCCTTGAACTCACAGAGGGCCTATCTGCCTCCCAAGTACTAGGATCAAAGGCTTGTGCTACTATGCCAGAGTCCATCGTTGACTTTTTTAAAAGAATACACACAGTATTACTAAACTAGAACAGTAAGCCTTTTTAGATAATAACCAAGATTTAACTCAGCTGACTTAAAAGTGGCAAGAGAAACATTACCATTTAAGCAGCTCAGATTTTCTTTAGCCAAGTTCTTGTTGTGAATGCTCTACCTCTCTCAAAATGTCAGGGCTCAGAAAGCAACTTCGTCTCATGTGTTGCCATCCTGCTCCAAATTTTTGGCTTTAAAGTTTGCTGTGGGAAGTGCAGCATATTTTGTAAGCACAGCTCTAAATCTGTTGCTAGGGACATCCCAGACTGAAGCAGAACCATTGTTGGAATGTGGGTGAAACTGTGGCTGCTGCCATTAGAAATGACAAAATAAATCGGGGGAAAGACTTACCCCCACTCCCCATTCGGCATTGCCCCAAGTTCAAAAGACCAAAGAATGTTTCGTAACAGAGTACCAGCTCAGACCTTTGTCCTAAAACATTTCTTCTGTCAGATCTTTTGGAAGAAGGAGCTTAAGAGATAGAGAAGGTTAGATCTTGCCCGGTTCCTTGCTGTATATAAGAGAATATCAAGACAAAAGAGAAAATGTAATCGCCATGGGGTGGGGCACAGATGACATAGGCTATTCCAGCATGAAACCTGATAAATCAGTGTAAGCCTTCAGAAGACTTTGGGAGCTCCAGCATCCTGCAACACAGACTGTAGACCAGCATGGCCAGGCCTGACAAGACTGGACACCGCCTGCTGTCTTGAAGAGCCCTGTCACAGTGGCCGGGTACCATACGCTGGCACAATGGACTGGGGCTTGAGTCTGTGGAGTTTCCTTCACCTCCTCCCCTGGGTCTCAGTTTCCCTGTGTCTTTCTCCCTGGTTTTCTTTCCCATTGAAAGTTGGAGCTGCTTGCTCTTTGACAGCCCCAGGAAAGTTTTAATTCTGCTCTCAGGAAGTATTTTCTAACTTAAGGAAAGAGATAAGATGCTGATAGGAAATAGGAGACACTAAAGTTAAAAGATAACTGTGTTTCCTGAATAATCTGAGATGCACTTACAGATAAAGGGATTCTTTGTTGAGGTGGCCTAAGTGACCACAAAGCCTACCGTTTAGTCACAGTGTGTCCGTATTAACTGTCCTATGGGTGTACAGCAGCAATTAAAGCCTGGCACCATCTTTAACACACACTGTCTCAGTGAAGTTGCGTGCCTCTTCTTCAGTAGTGTAACTCCACACTGCCTTGTCCTCCCCTCCCCTCACTGCGTCCTGCATGGTCCAAGTGTGGGAACGTGTGCTTGCTTAGTGATGCTGGTGGGAGTCTCTTAATGAGCTGGGAACATGGTTCTTGAAGAGATTTCTGAGCCCTGGTTCTCCTGGCCAAGTAAAACAATCTGGCTCCAAGGGATGAGTAATTGTAGGGAAACTCTTTAGAGCGTTTAAGGCTCTATATGCAGCATTACTTTTCAGATCATGTGATGTAGCTTTCCCAGAGAACAGCCAAACACTTAGAAATACACAAGAACGGTTACCACTCCCCAGGTGAAAAGAGTCGGAACATAATTATAAGGGAGAAGTTGAACAGGAAGCCATTAAAAGTTTCGGAACTGTCATGTGCCACTATACCTACGGTGTGTGCAATTTAAAAAAAATGTCAGAATCACTACTAAAAATTGACAAGTTCAAAATGAAGTGAGGAGCTGTTCATATGTATGTAAGTGATTCATGAACAGAAAAGTCCTAAAAAACACGACATTGTCACCTTCAAGAGACTAAGGGAGGAGACTTTCAAGGTAGTTCAGTAGTTATGAGCAATTGTTGCTCTTGCAGAGGACCTGGGTTCTGTTTCCAGCACTCACATGGCAGCTCAAACCCATCTGTAACACCAGTTCCAGGGGACCGGGTGCCCTCCTCTGACCTCCAGGGTGCCAGGCATGCACATTCATGTATGCATGCCAAATATTCAAGCACAATAAATGAATAAATAAAACAGAGCAAGAAAGACCCTAAGGCAGGGAGATTATGAGTTTGAGGCCCTCCTGGGATGTATAGCAAGATCCTGACTCAAAAAAAAAAAAAAAAAAAAAAAAAAAAAAAAAATTAAAACCTCTTTTTTTTTTATTTTTAACTTACATGTAGTAAGTCAATGTTTGGCAAACTAAGGCCCGTGGCCAGCCAAATCCAGTAAAAATATAACTGTAAAGTTTATCAAGACCCAACTACTTGCATTCACTCTACTTTGCCTAAAACTTCTTACACACAATAGCAGATTTGAGTAACACCAATAGTGGCCAAAAGTGCTGTGCTAACTAGCACAACTGCTCTGCAGCCAATCACCTACTCTCTGGATGGTCATTTACCTGAAGTTTTCAGATTCCTATGCATGACAATACAGACAATACAGACACTAAGTTGATATATGTATATATATACATATATCAACTATATATATCAACTATATATATATATATATATATATATATATATATATAGAGAGAGAGAGCCACTTTGGCCCATGAGCCTGGGATTCTCAGTATATGCCAGAATACCAAAGGTTCTAATGCCAGTGAAAAAATGAACTTGCCAACGAGAGCAAGCCTGCAAAGAGCAAAAGCTTCCTTCTTCCATGTTCTCTATATAGGATGCCACCAGCAGGTATGGCCCAGATTAAAGGTGGATTTTCCCTCCTCAAAAGATGTAGATTAAAAGTGAATCTTCCACTTCAAATGATTTAATTAAGGAAAATCCCTCACAGGTGTACCCATCTGCTTGGAATTTAGTTAATTCCAGGTGTAGTCAAGTTGACAGACAGGAATAGTCAGCATAGTAAGAAGGGGTTGTAAGTTAAATAACATTCTTTCACAAGCTCTTAAAGAGCAGTTGACTGTATGATCCCATTGTCACCATCCATCTCAAGGCCTTGATGCTGGGAAACTGGACTTTAGATACTTTATATAGAAATTAAGGCAAACGCTGAAAGAAAACTGAGCAACCTTCTGTTTGTAATTGATACTGTTGCCATGGGTTGGAAAAGGACATTGTCCTTGCTTCCTCTTTTGGAAAAACTCAACCAATCCCATCTGGCTGTGTGGTTTTTAAATAGTCCTTGAGGAGTTGGAGAAATGCAACCCTGTCTTGGTGCCTCTGCTTCACAGGCTGAATGACCCACTGGGACTGAGTGGGACAGGCCTGGCGTCACCTCACATCCCAGCAGCCCTGAAGAACTGGCTGGCTTGGACTGCTATACTTTTCTTTCACTGTTCTCTTAATGGAAATCACAGAGCTACCATCCTTACTTCAGAGGAGCAGTTTCCTCTTTTGGAACCAAAAACTGTCAGGCTAAGGAAACAGCTAATGTGTTCAAGCCACAGTGACAAGATGATCTCATTTTATGTCAAAGGTTTCAAAAGATGAAATAATTTTTGGAACAAGAAGTAACTGAGATTCAGAGTATTTGATTAATAAGATATTTTAAATATGTCTCATGGGCATAGAGTCTTTTAACTATAGTACCTATTTTCAACTAGACTAGCCAAATATAGATTATATTTTTGCAGCTAGAAAATTCTAGGGAATGGAGAAAAGTGCAAAACTCTTCCTCCCTCTCTTTATATGTGGGTCATTCTTTTTGTCTTAAAGTTACTGTTAAAACTAACAGTAGTATATGAAAGTATTTGTATTAGATATTTAACATTTTTAGAGTCAGGCATGGTGACAGATGCCTTTAATCCCAGCACTTGAGAAACAGAGGCAGATGGATCTCTGTGAGTTCAAGGCCAGCCTGGTATACAAAGCAGGTTCCAGGATAGCTAGGGTTATTAAACAGAGAAACCCTGTCTTGAAAAAAGAAATTTAATATTTTCCTAAGGTAAGGATGCTGGAGAGATGGCTCAGCTGTCATTTACTGCTCTTGCAAATTTCAGTTCCCAGCACCCACTTGATGGCTCATACCATTCATCACTCCAGTTACAGGATATCTGCCCCTTTCTGACCCTTTTGGACACCAGACATGCAGACAGCAACAACAATAAAATGTTAACTAGTTTTTCAAATTATAAACAAGACTGGCATCTGAGTGCTTAAATCAGTCTCCACCTTAGAAAATTTCCATTAAAGTTACCTTTAGAGAAAGGATTATGAAGTCAAGAGATTAAAATCTAAGCCAGTATTACCAAGGTTGCACTGAATGGGAGAGGCACTCTTTAACTGTTGAAATTTGTATCTCCTTTCAGAACCATCCGGTGATGAGGAAGGAAGAGACACAGAAATGATGCAGCAGGACACAGCTCCAGTTCCTGAACCATCACAGGAAACCAAACAGGTGACAGTCACTGTGAGCATTGCAGCTATTGGCTCTGAAGCCCATCTACAGCCCTGTGGTGGTCACCTGTGGCTTGTAGATAGAGCTGACTGATTGCTATGAATAGTCACGCACCTCAGGACAGAATGGGATGAGCTGCAAGCTCTCTGCTGGTTGGTCCTAGGGCGTGGTCTTTCAAATGTCTGGGTAAAGGCAAAGGAGGCCCTGTGAGGATACAGTCGATGTTCACCTTCCTCATCCTGATCCCAACTTGCCACAGCTCCCATGCGTAATCACTTGCAACCAACCACTTGATTCCCCCACTCTCTCCCAGAGCTCTTGAGGACTCTAAAGGGGTTGTAACTTCTGCTCTGCTCTGCTCTGCTCTGCTCTGCTCTGCTCTGCTCTGCTCTGCTCTGCTCTGCTCTGCTCTGCTCCATGGCTCCAGCTGCTTTCCCATCTCATGAACTCTCCTCCATACCTCTCCTCATAGCTGTACCAGCCCTCCTGGCTAGCATCAGTGGAGATAATGCTGTGTATCACTCTGGGAGTTGCCAGTGATAGGACGATCCAGGGAGCTTTGAAATCACATGCTCAGATCTGTTCCTTTGTGTTTTGCAGTTAATTCTCTTTTGGTAAATTCTTAGCATCTTTTCCTGATACACGATTATTGTAAATTCCACAGTGATGCTCCACAGGGTGTCGTTCTCTTATTCATTGTGCATTCATATTTCTAAGAGCTTTCCATAGTAGTGAATGCTCTAACAGGTTTCCTTTAGTCCTGGAAGGGCATCCTTACTTTATTTTTCTTTTGCACATTCTTTCCTTACTTTCTGATATCACATCTTTTGCAGTAATGTCTTTTTGTTGTTTGTTGGCTCTCATATCGGGGACTTTATTTAAATGTCTAGTTAGTCTTAGCTCTGTTGGTATTAGAGAACAATCCTCTAAAAAAATTCATTTGAAGATTTAGCCCATGAAGTGAGTTTTTGTTTTTTTGTTTTTTTGTTTTTTTGTTTTTTTGATTAGTATAAGTATTGGGAAATGGTAATCACAAACTGGGATTTTTAAAGCTCCCAAATATCACTTTCTTGCAACATTTTTCTTTGCCTATCCGGGTTCTTCCAAGTAAGGATTCAGTAGTCTATCTAGACCCAAGTGTGTGTGATACACTCCTCTAATCCCAGCACTTGAGAGATTGAGGAAGGAAGGAAAAATCTTGAGTTCTGGGCTAGCCTGAGCTCCACCACTGGACCCTACCTCAAGAAAAGGAAAAAGGGGAACAGTACACAAGCATGGCATGGGGTAGGAAAGCCCCAAGCCCTCATCTGTCCTGAGAAAGGCCCATTGTGTTTTCAGGAAGGACCAGGAAAGGAAGCAGTAATGGGATGTTTGCTTGGCTTCCAGGGTAGGAGATTAGAACCAAGTGGGCATAGGGAGGGGAAACAGTTTCAAGTGGGGGGTTTCATCAGGTGAGTCTTAATCCTTGTTAATTTCCACCTTCACGAAGACTGAACCACTTTCCATTTTTCCCATTTTCCAAAATATGGTTGAAATCTTTGTACCACAGTTGTCTTTCCTGGTATCTTAGACTTTATAGGTGTTTGTTTACCTTTCAACCTCTTCATTTTGAGATTGGTATGCTATGAGAAGCAGTCCTCAAGCATGTAATAGTTAACACTTCAGAAACTTAGAGCTAATTGTGTTGTAATTGCCTCACTTAAAGGCCATATTTCCTAGCAGTGAGATCGGGGCCTGTCCCTGGCACCTAGCTGATTTTGGGGAACCTGTTCCCCATGCTGGATTACTGCCTAGCCTTTCTGAGGAGGAAGAGCTAGATTCTACCTCAGCTTGATATGCCATGCTTTGTTCATGCCCAGGGGAGGCCTGCTCCTTTCTGAATAGAGATGGGGGAGGAGTGGATGGGGAGGGGGGGAGGGGAAACTGTGGTCAGCGTGTATAATAAATGAAAAACTGTTAATTAAATAAAATATTTTTTTTTAAAGACATGGTTAGCCAGGTGTGGTAGTGCAGGCCTATAATTCCAATACCTGAGAGGTAGAGGATCTCTGTGAGATTGAGGGCAGCCTGCTCTACATAGTGAGTTCCAAGCTTACCAGCACTATATAGCAAGGCCCTGTATTTAAAAGAAAAATGCATGTTTCCAGGTTTTTTGTGTATACTAAATACCCATGACTCTTCAGACGACATATTTAAGATTGTTATAAGGATAGAACATTGCTTATGGGTTGTTTAGGTCTCATCCTATGGGAATGACTTCTAGGAGTGGTGAGTTGCCTGGTCTAAGTCTGCCATATTTTTTGCTGTCTGCAAAGGTAGACAAAAACTGTTATAAAACAGCTGGCTAAATTTAGGAATTTTTCAATATAACGATTTGGCTTTGGATTTCTCCCCAAACCATAACACCTTTTTGGAAATTAACCCTATAAAGTGGCTTCCTCGTACACACCTTACCACAACCAGCCAAGGGTAACAAACAGATACCAAAAAATAAGTGCTTTGCATTTCCTTTGGGATGATCTAAGAATCTGAAACCAAAGTTTATCAAACTTTTATCAAAAAGTTTACCAAAAATTTATCAAACAAGTCTGTCTGTCTGTGGCAGGATCTTACTGTGTATCTGGTTGGCATGGATTCAGATTAGACTGGCCTCAGAGATCCACCATCTCTGGTCTCTGTCCTCTGACCTCTCCCTTGTCTTTGTTGTGATTAAAGGCATGTGCCTGAGAGGCATGTACATTTGCTTTTTCTTCTTATTGCATTATTATTTTTAACTCCAAAACTGATGAGCCATACTCTTAATAAGTGAGCTCATTTTTAGATTTGACTCATGTCATGTTTGAATTAACCATCTTTTAAACCTAATAATCGGGGGCTGGAGAGATGGCTCAGAGGTTAAGAGCACCAACTGCTCTTCCAGAGGTTCTGAGTTCAATACCCAGCAACCACATGGTGGCTCACAACCATCTGTAATGAGATCTGGTGCCCTCTTCTGGTGTGCAGATATACATGGAAGCAGAATGTTGTATACATAATAAATAAATTTAAAAAGAGAGAGAGAGAGAGAGAACACAGGCATGTACTTCCATCCTGTTAAAAAAAAAAAAACAAAACTAATAATCTGTAATCAGCACATCAACCTTCTTGTAGAGAACAGCTCCATATACTAAATAAGAAAACACTCCAGGGAGCCTCTGGTAGTGGATTAGTATTTTTCCCTGGTGCAAGAAGGGACTTTGAGAACCCATCCCACGTGAAGGGTTACACTCTGGCCCTGGACACATGGGGAAGAGCCCAGGACCAGCACAGGAGGATTTGGTGGACTTTGCAGAGCCCGGGTTGAGGGCCCTACCCTGCCTGGGGAGTGGTGGGTGGATGGGGTGGGGGAAGAAAAAGAAAACACAACAGGTGTCTATGTCTGCTTCCCCACAACCTTCAATAATAGTTAACAAAACTAATGCCAATTTGTATGTGTGCGTGTGTGTGGTGATGGGTCGGTTGTCTTTGTTGTTGTTTTGAGATAAACTCTCTCTCTGTGTGTGTCTGTCTGTCTGCCTGCCTGCCTGCCTGCCCACATCTCTCTCTCTCCTCCCTCCCTCCATTGGTGATCTGGAATTTACTATGAACTATGAGGCTTCAAACCCAGACAAATCTCACTCAGTGCCTGTGGCTCCTCCCAGCACTCCTTACTCTGCTTCCTACCCTAAACCTCTCCCTCCCAGGGGCTAGGCTTCACTTCCCTACCCCCAGACGGATCCCTACGTGTGTGTGTGTGTGTGTGTGTGTGTGTGTGTGGTGTGTGTGGTTGTGTGTGTGTGGGGGTGTGTGTGTGTGTGTGTGTGTGTGTGGTGTGTGTGTGTGTGTGTTGTGGTATGTGTGTGTGGTGTGGTGTGTGTGTGTGGTATTGGTGTGTGTGTGTGTGTGTGGTGTGTGTGTGTGTGGTGGTATGTGTGTGTGTGTGTGTGTGTGGTGTGTGTGTGTGTG